ACATCATCACTCATTGGGGGAATGCATGTACATCCAGTGGCTGACGAGTCCCAAATAGCACGAAATGCGTGTTATCCTGGACTCCACTGCTAGTCGCCATCCTCCAAATTCAATTCGAATTACATGCCTGGACATTTTCGAAGCATCTGCACAAGAAGCTGACATGTCAACCTGAGACCGAGCACTTCGGTCCAATCAATCAATTGACGGGAAAATATAAAAGTGTTGGTTTGTAGGGAATTCATTGATTGATTATGGGTTTGACTACGGATCGACATCAGTTAGGAAACCACTGGAAAACCTAGAATGAAGTACTGGAAAGCCAGCTGGTTCATCTTAGTTTACTATTTATTGGCAAGATGTTTTCTGCGGGATTCAAACCCATGACTTGCCGGTGGTTAAAAGGAAAGCAAACTCGTAGACTGTTCAGCCACTAAGACTTGACTTGATGACTGTGAATTCTAACTTAATGACAAGTGGAATTCACCCTTAGTCGGAAGTCAAGGCAAATACTCGCCACTAGCATTGGCTGACGCATCTGGCCCTGAAAAGTTCTGAAATGGTAGAATTTAGAATTCATGGGCTGTTATCTATTGAAACAAGCCCTGGTCTGGTGGTGTGATACAGTCAATCTATGCCAACGAAATTTCACTTTCACATGTTCCCACAGTTCATCTCGGCGTTAACAATAGAATACGATATACCTATTTGATTTTAGAGTCGGAATGTTACTCCCACAGTTCATTACTGCATTGGCAACAAAATACTGTGTATGTGTGAACATACTATTTTTTGTCGTTTGATCTAAACCGAAATCACACGTTTTCTTGGTTGGTTAACGAATATAAACTGTAGATACATAAGCAGATGTTTGATTAATGGAAAATTTACCATGGCTTCCGTGTCTTGCCTTCTGTTGTTAGCCTGGTGGCTGCAAGGCCTACAAGCTTGCACTGGGTTCGGACCATGGCGATGGATGCGTACTTCCCATGAGCCTAACTTATGTGTTCAGTGAAAATGCGTATGAAGAATTTTACTTAGTATGATAATCAATTACTTGACTGCAAAAATCTGTGTTAATTTCCTCTTCATTTTGAAGCCTTTTATAAGCGCTGCATTTTTTAAAAATTTACTTTTAATATCCACATAATTTATCGCCTTTATTTCATCTGAAAATTCAATGTACATATCATCGCTTATGCATGCTTCTAAAATGTAATTCTTTTCATCTTAACAACTCAATGTTATTTAGAAAAAAAGTAGAGCTTGATAAGAAATAAATAGAGAGAAGTATTCTTTGCTCAGTCTTTTAGAATTTCAGTGTTCTAAAAGTGTTTCCACGTATGAATAGACAGACTATTTAGCGCTTCATACACCATATTTTATTTTTAGAATACAAATTAAGGAAGTAAATACGTATTTTCGATAAAATCTCATTCAGCTCATGCTGATTACGTAATGAAATATCAGTCATAGGTATTTAAAAAACCATGTATTGCTTTATGTTCCCAGTGGAATAATATAGGGCTTCTTCAAGGTAGAGCTCTGAAGTTTCGGTAGTAGTGATATTTTGTTTTTGCGAGATGGGGTTGTGATAGGATCCCACACATTTTGTTATTGACTGTTAATCTCGCATACATGGTATATTATCATTTCTGTAAAATGTATAAATACCATGACTTTCTTTGTCGTTGTTGTTGTACTACAATACACAGTCACAGTCAAGTCTTTGTCTTTTGATATTTGCGTGCTTCCCTGAATCGGAAGGTACCACAAGCAGATAGGCATATTAGTCAGGCGCAGACAGAACAAGGCGACAACGTCCTCATCTAATTCCCTACAGTTATAACAGGTTGCTAGCCTCGTGCCCCCAACCTTCCTTCTTTACAGGTCTGATTACTAGGTAGGTGAGTTGAATTAGTGCCTCGGCTGTGGATAGAATTGCTAACCACCTGCATGTTCGGAGAACATTCTACCGCTGTTCCACCGAAGCATATTTAAATAACAGTATGCATCAACAGAACCAAGCAGAATGTAAGTAGAATGATGATAATAATAATAATGATTAAATTGTAGAACCAAGATTAACGTGATCATGAATTCTATCTCTGTGACAAGTGGGATCCACCTGGTTGGGAGTGAGGGCAACTATTCACCACCAGTGACTTAAGCTGGTGTCAGTCGCGCTGAGAAACTATGAACTGGTAAAAGTTGGAATTCAAAGGCCGTTGGCTGTTGAGATAGGCCTTGGTGGCTGAAAGGTCTACGATCTTGCTTTCTAACCGGAAGGTACAGGGTTCGAACCATTGTGGTGGGTGCGTACTTCAGATGGGTCCCAAACTACGATGAAACAGATGGCTGTGCAATGCTCCCTGCAATATTTTATCGATAATAAAGTTTTCAGATGTTGGTTTTGTAGGGATTTGGTTAGATTGTATGGAGAATTTAATCATGAGCTGACATCAGTTAGAGAACCACTGGAAAACCTGAGAGTACTGGGCAGCTGTTTCCTCCGTCCTAGTTTGGGACTCCTCAGCAGTACGCATCCACCGGGGTTAGAACCCAGGACCTTCTGGTTACAAGGCGAGCTCGTAGACCACTGAGCCACTGGGACCCGATCCAATGGTTCCTGAATTGTAACTTCTGCCAATTCTCGACATACAATCAAACCAAATCCCTACAAAACCAACATCTGAAAATTAATCTGATGCTCACTAGTGACTGGCCCTATTCAGACAGTTAACCTGGGGTTCTAGTGGGAAGCCGTGACCAGTAGGGTACAGCAGGTCGAAGATGAGGCAGTAACTCATCGAAGAAGACATTGCGAAGTGGTCGCGCTATGTCGTGAATTGGCAGAAGTTAGAATTCAAGAACCATTGGATCGGGTCCCAGTGGCTCAGTGGTCTACGAGCTCGCCTTGTAACCAGAAGGTCCTGGGTTCTAACCCCGGTGGATGCGTACTGCTGAGGAGTCCCAAACTAGGACGGAGGAAACAGCTGCCCAGTACTCTCAGGTTTTCCAGTGGTTCTCTAACTGATGTCAGCTCATGATTAAATCCTCCACGTAATAAAGTTAGCAGAACAAAAAAAATAATATTTACAGTTATCCGGTGACACCGGGAGAGAAACATTATTCCAGGTAGAAGTTGAAGGCCATGGGAGACACAAAGATTGGGCGAAAATCGCGAACTGACCGACGTTAGAATTCATGGGTCAGTGAAATCCACCTCAAGTGGCTGAATGTCCAATAGACTTAGGCTCCTTGTAACTAACGGATCTTGGTTTCGATCCCTAGTGGTGGCATCACGGACAGCATACTGGTGAAGAATACTACACTGGAATGAAGCAGTTGTCCTTTACTCCTCAGTTTTCGGTAGTTCTCTAACTTATATCAATCCATAATCAGAATTAAAACGAATCAAATTTCTGAAATCTAACTCTTCAACGGAGTACTAGTCATAATTATATTAGTATGACTGTAAAAAAATTCATTGGGTACCTAAACTCTCATATGCTCTGATGGTGGTTTCGTAACTTTTGTTGCCAGATCCCTCAAGGGCGATGATGGCATAGTAGGTGATCTAATTGTTGTGTGCAACGTTTGAAGAGGGTTATGTGCTATATGCATGCTCTTCGCTCTGATAACTTTTGTTCGTTAGTGGCACAGTGATAGAGTGCTAACCGACCTCGCGGATGGTTCATAGTTCGATTTCCAGCCGATGCACTTCTTCACCTCACTACGCCAGTAGTAAGACTGGTAAAGAGGGAAGGTTGAGCATGAGGCTAACAACCCCATCCCGTAAATGTAAATACCACTGCTACTGAAACTTCAGAGCTCTAGCTTAAAGTAGACCTGTGCTTCACTGAGAAAGTAAAGGATTCAGAGAAAAAAATATTCAGACTTCAGTTCAGTTTGCTTCTTGTTCACCGAAGCAATAAGTGGGGCGTCGGTGGTATAGCGGTTAGCACGCTCGCCGACCATGCATATGGTCCGGGGTTCGATCCCCGGCCGACGCACTCCTTTACCTCACTGAGCCAGAAATAATCCTGGTAAAGAGGAAAGGTTGGGCATGAGGCTAGCAACCCCATCCTGTAAAAATTAAACACTGCTACAGAAACTTCAAGCCACTAGCTTGGAGCCCTATGTTCCACTGGGAACGTGAAGGAAAAATTATTATTATTAATTTGGACAAACATGAGAGTTAGGCAAGAGTTAACAATCTGTATCATTATGAAGATTGTAAAAGTCAAGTTACTAAAAGTTGACATTCTGAGGATGTGAAACTGGCAACCTACACTTCTGTGCATCGCTCAGATTAACAATCAATCACTAGATGAATTTGCACCATTTTTCGGGTGATTACGCCAAAAGTTTTCCTTACCCACTTTTGCTACAATGATGATTAATCGTTAGCAAATGTAGGGTATCGTAATTTGCAGAATTTGTCTCGACCATCAATGTCAAAGAACAGACATAATCTCGTCAACTGATTCACCTTCATTATCTAACAATCAATATAGCTCCCTGAGACTCTTCGATTTCTTTTACTATTATTGGCAGTGTCAAACGGCTATAAACTAAGACTCAGGAGACTGCGAGGCAGTGAATGTACTCTTTCCGTTGTTACTCCTCGTTCAGCCTAAATAGAGCATATGACAAGAACGGGATGGGCTTTATATCTGTTTTCAGATATCGTGGCTACAAAACGTTATCTCGAAAAAATGGTACTTTTCAAAGAAAACTTATGGTTATTACGCTTAGTTAGTGTGTGTGTTATCAAACTCTTAACATGTCCGCTGTTTGACTGAGCTCACAGTGCAAAATCAGTAAAAACTATCCAATTTCTAGCTTGGTCACTGAACAAACTGGTGATACTATATAAAGCCGAATTGCAATTGCAATTGCAAGCTGTGAATTTCAAAATCTTTGTTCTTCGAATACAAAACATGTTTTTCTCAATCTTACTATCCAACCTTTCATTTCTGTTCATTTTAACACAGACTATCCTGAAATCGACTGGATTCAATGTGGTCATTATGGTTCTGGTTTTGGCTAATGCAATTACAGCAGCTGCATTGCATTTTAATCATCAAAGTTTGAGAGGTGATGACTATCTTGAAGATCAGTTGGATGGCTTTTATTATGCTGAGGTAATGTATATTTTGCATTTTGATTTAACTGGTTATCACACCTCAACATTGACGTAACTCGGTCTCCTCTTCTCTCTCTCTCTCTCTGTAATCAGTCATTATCAATAGCATTGACAGCATTTCCAATGGGTTACTGAAGACCTTTTATGGAAAACCGCCTTCTCCAGCCCGAGACTGAAGGTTAAATGGCCAACCGGAGACATTTAGCAAAAAGAAACTCTAGGATAGAACCAATCAAGATTCTGTTTCTCAAGAAATATTTCAAAAGAAATGCAGATGGATTAGATACACATTGAGGGAACTGTAGAATGACATTGTGGTACAGGCCATCACTCAAGTGGAATCCAAATCGGAAACAAAGAATTCGTCGTTGGTTAAAGAGTGCTGTGGAGGAGATAGGAGATTATCGACCATAATAAGGCTAGCTAAACAGCACTCAGCATCAAAAATAAGATCCGGATTTTCAACTCCAATGTGAAGTCAGTGCTACTATACGGATCAGAGACTTGGCGAGTCATAAAGAGCATCTCAAACAAACTTCAAACCTTCATTAACAGCTGTCTTCGCTCAATACTCAAGATCAGATGGCCGGCCAGAAAAGATCAGCAACAGGGATCTCTGGGAGCGAACCAATCAGGAACCGATTGTGAAACAAATAGGCAGGAAGAAATGGAGATGGATTGGCCGTACTCTGAGGAAACCATCAAGTGACATCACTAGACAAGCCATCGCTCGAGTGGAACCCGAAAGGGAGGCGGCGAGTTGGTCGTCAGTGCAAGGGTGACTTGGAGGAGGTCATGCGAGGAGGAGATGAAAGCATGTCGACAGACCTGGAGCAGGGTGAAAAAGTTGTCAGAAAACCGAAGGCAATGGAGGTGCGCAGCTGAAGCCCTATGTTCCTCTAGGAACTAAAGGATACAATAATAATAATAAATAAACAAGGCATGCACGTTTGAAGCCCTATATTCCACTCACGGAATCCAAGGGAACAGTAAAATAATAATAATGATTTACTGTTTATTCCTTGAGTTCCGAGTACAACATGCGGCGTCGTTAGTACATTTTATTGTGATAGCCCCAACAAACCGAAGAAATATGCTTAAGTACGTTAAATTTTACACTGACTTTTATTTATTAAAGATTACTGGTTGTATGCAGCTGATGAGAACCAACGAAGCGAAATGAAGCCATGTTATTGTGTACCAATCTTGTTACAACCTTTTTTATTGATTTAACTTTGTTCAATTAAAATTTTTAAGGTAGAGGTAGGTAGGTATTCAAGTGAAATATATACACACAGATTAAACTTCACTAAGGCGTGCTAATTAAAAATTACAGCGATGCCGTAGAAATACCAGAGAAATCAACTTGTTCTGATCGCATATAATGATTGTTAATATGTATTATATATGTTTTGAATAAATCGACGTAAATTAAATCTAGGATATAATTTTTCATAAGATGCCTTACCCTGCCTACCTCTACCTATCTTTGATGACATTTAGATCAAAAACACCAGAATCCATTAGCAAAAGTATTCAACGACATTAATGTATATTTAGTCCAACTGATTTTATCTTCGTCTGTAGTCGTAAATGGGAAATTAATATTCTCTAGGTAGTCATATATCAAAATCATGGGAAGGTGGTCAACAAGCATGGCCGCATACGCAATCACACAAATATATGTAATTCTGTCTAGACTGATGCGTCACGTGACTTGGCGTCAGCGTATTGTAGAAACGTTCTTTAGTTACCTCAGTCATAGTTAGTAATAATACGAAGTATGTGTATACATGTATATGGATAAAAATAGGTTATAAAGTGGAGATACAAACGTCTAAAGAGGGGAAAAAATTTAAAAAAAATACGAGGAGATAAAATATGCTGATTACTAACTGAGATATGCCAACTTTTACTTGAGAAAAAAAACAGTTCTAGTTATTGTTCTTTTGGTTTCCAAGGGGAGGCATAGCGCTTCAACAATATATATCTCCACTTAATCCTATTGTCTGAGATCCACTTCAGTTGGGTGCATGATTGGTCATACGCTCTCATGTCCTCCAACTCCTATGAGCTCTTCTATGTCACACTTGGACACATACTTAACTCGTCGTTCCTAATTCAGGTTCCACGGAAGTGATGTTACCCGACAGTCTCCTTGCTGTGTGTTTTCAATCCAACTCCGTTTACTTCCACATATTTGTAGGGCATTAGGTATTTGATTCTACCCATCCCAGATTTTGTTGTTTGTAATTCATTCTGGCTGACCATCTGACCCTCAGTATGTGTAATGACAGAAGGCAGGAGTCAGGAAATCAACACGTATTTATATGTTTTCATCAACACTATTATAGATTATTCAAGCAAACAAACACAGTCTTCTGATTGTTTGTTTCTCACAGACACTTGACTTTGCATCTCATTGTGACTGTTTCTTGAATGTCAGATCATCTATGTCTGCCTACGCAAAGTCTGCCGTAATTGGTTGTTGAATAAGTCTTGATCATATTTTCTCACGACCCCTATTTGCGACATAAACATTGACGCAAATTAATGCCTACCAATTGGCTAGCAGCCTGCTCTCACTACATGTGGAGGAAAGGCAGCTGTTGATATAAATTTGCATTGTACTGTTGGAATTACTCTTGGTGTTAACTGCTCTTGTGGAGCCATTTACGTAGGCCGTACAACTAGGCGTGTTCCTCTTGAGATTTCCGAACATTAGCCTGAGTGATTGGTTAAGTAAAGGATAAACAAAAACTATTCGTAGCGCTATTTTATCTCACTCATTTTGTGGATACAGAACACAAGATTGATGTTAACAAGGTGACTTTCAAAGTCAGCTATCACATACAAACCAACAAATCTTAACTTCGCTATAAGAGTTCGATTACTAAATATTACTGAGGCTGGCGGCTGGGATCCACATCAAGAAGCCTAATTTGTGCGTTCAAAAGAAGCTAGTTTAGACATTATCCTTACCTTGGCCATCTAAGTTTGAATGATCCTCACGTTTTGTGGAACTTCTCTAATTTTAGTTGATATTCTATTTGCTATTACATCTTTACTATTATAATTTACGTATCTTTAATGAACTGTAACTCCGTTGATCTTACTCTACAAATCGATATTATTTAAAAAGCACACTAATATTGTGATTCACTACTATTCTAGAATATTCTATGTATAAAAAGTTGTATATATAATTGTAGAGCCAGAAGAGGAAGTTATCGAAAAGCATATTCATTGCTCAATTATTTTGTGTTTGATAAATCCCGAATTTCGCTGTTTATGCTCTGGTGGAATGCAGATTTCAAGCTACTGAAGTCCTGCTAGGAAGTCAGCAGGCCCTGACGGGATTCCTCTCGAAACACTGAAGACGGCCCCAGAGATTAAAGCAGATGTTCTTACTACATTACTGCGAAACGTTTGAAAAGAAGGAAAGATGCCCACCGAATGGAAGGGTGACTTACGACACTGCAAGGATTGATGTGGAACAATGCTCTTGTCCACGCCAAGTAAAAGTAGTAATTCCCATCATCCTTGAGAGAATAAAAAAAATAAACTGGATAGAGAATTCTGCTTTCGCTGTACAAGTTGGATTCAGGAAATACGAATTCATGTGCTAATCAAATTGCAAGTTTACGAGTCATCATCACAATAACAAAGCACAGAATAGCAGCCAAACTTCTATCTCAACTTCATCGACTTCGTTGAGGCCTCCGAAATACAGTGTAGACCGAGAAGTAATTTCGATACTACGGCGTACCTCAAGTCTTTATCAACCTCATTCAACTGCTGACTATATGACAATGCTACGTGTCAAGTGATCCACAACGGAAAACTCAGAGAGGTGTTCGAAATGCATACATGAGTAGGACAAGGCTGTCTGCCTATTATCACTGATGATATTCTTAATTGTAGTGGACTGGATTATGCGTTAGACTGTGCGTGAGAGCGATGAGTCGAGAATATACTGGACAACCGATAAGAATACTCTAGAAGATCTGGATTTCGCGCGTGGATGATCTTTGTCTAATGTCACACAAACTCGAAGACTTGCAAGCGAAAACCAACAAACTGGTTGAAGAGGCAGGAAGTGAAAACAGGACTGCATGTGAACACAGAGACTACGCAGGTGATGAAGATAACCAACGAACAGCAACAGCAACAACAACAACCAGCACCAGTCACCACCAATGAGAGAGATTCAACAGAGGTTGCTTACTTTCAATTAACTAGCCAGGAAGTATCGTTTCGAATACAGGTACACGGAACAGAAGAAGATGCCAAAGCCTGTCAGAATCGGAATGGCAAGATACGCCTTCATCAACCTGAAACCAGTTTGGAAATCTTCCGCTGTCACACTCAGTGTAAGGAACAAGATTTGCATCTTCGGTTAGTGTTTCTATATGGGTCAGAAACTTGCACTTCTTGTCACAGAAAGGATTTCCAACAGCCAGTTGCAGACCTTCATCAACAGCTGCCTTATTCACTGGCTTCATACTGAAGATCAAATACCCAGAAATAATGGATAAGAGGAAACTCTGGCAAAAACCAGCAGGCGAGAGCCGATAGCTTAACAGATATGTAGGAGGAAGTGGCGATGGATTGATCGGGTATATATTGAGCAGGCCACGGAATGACATCGCACGCAATGCAGGCCATTGCTCAAGTGAAATCCAAATGGGCAGTGATGAGTGGGTTGTCAGTGCTATAGTGACATGATGGAGATCGTATGGGGAAGAGATGAGAGAGTTTGGTCAATTGCTGTGAGCTAGCCAGCTGAAAAGGAGAGCAGAAAACAGGACAAAGTGAAGATGTGTAGCTGAACCCCCTAGGTTCCCTCTTGGAACGCAAGGGAATAATAATAATAATAATAAAATTTCAGTATAGAAAATATCCCCATTTAGACATTTAAAAATGAGAAAGATTGAACAAAGAATTATTTAATTTTCAATTAGATCCTCATCTCTCTCTCTGGCTCTACTCTAATAA